TAATGATACTAATAAGTGTGTGTGAAAAAGAGGAAATGGGTAGAGAATGATGAGAAGGTATGGAGAGGATTGTACTATAGACTGCACACACTTTTGCAAGTGCACGTTTGTGTTGTGTCGCTGTCCTTCACCAAACTCCGTTTTCAACCCTAACCTAAACCATATAAATCGGTTATCACGTGATTAACCAACGGTTCTGTTTTCCTAACTGAATCACGTGACAACTTCTTGTCTCCATCCAACCGAACCGAACCGGTTATATCCAAGCAGAATTGGGTTTTAAATAAACGAGTGAATGCTAAAAGCCCAGCCCACCAAGTAATTAAATTCTCAATAAATGTCTATGATAGGTTTGGGTCTATAAAAGGCATTAACAAAGTTGGAATATACTATGTAGCTCGATAAACTTTTCCAGTAGACTCTTCTTTGGTGTGCCTATAGTAAGCCTAGACCAGTTTTAGCTTATATGTATATCTCGTTTAAAGGAAATTTCACAGTAAAAACAATTACTAAAAATTAATGTTCTAAAATGCGCTAGACCTTTATTAGGCGGCGAAGGGGGACCTAGCGCCTAATCGTATACGCGGGAGTATAGGCGAGGGCTGGGCGGATAATTATTTTTTAGATATATATATACGTATAAAGATAAATATATATATATTACATTGTATATATAATGAATAAAACATGGATGCATTTTATATTTAGAGATATTTAGAAATGAGAAGTTTCAAATATTAAATTTAGTAAATTCTTATGTAAAAGAACATGTAATTTTAAATATATATAAATAAGTATATAACCTTAAAATGTAAATTAAAAGTCTTATAAATATATACAGATATAAAAGATATAATGTCTAAACTTATTTTCAAAATGAATTCAACTAATAGATTTAATCATTAGAGGCTCAAAATAAATATTGATTATGATAAACAATTTTATTTTACAATATCATAAAAAATTGTGATTTTTTTCTTTAATTTTTATATGGCCGTCTAATATCCGCGTAGGCCGCGTAATCATCCGCCTAGACCGCGTAGACGTCCGTCTAGACCGTATAAACATCCGTATTTTTAAGAATCGCATAAATCACCAAATAACCTAAAATCGGGACGCCCACGTTTTAGAGCACTGCTAAAAATAGTACATATGTTTTTTTTTTTGCTAAACTAAAATAGTATATATGTTTCATGCAACAATAGAAAAGCAGAATCTATAAACTTACATGAGTTTGAGTTTCCATGACTCTTTCTGAGTTTTGACAGGGAAAATAATGTGTATAGAAAACTAGAATATCATGATTTTAATCTTCTTCTTTTTGACAACTAATGATTTTAATCTACATAATCAAATATTTTTATATGTAAGGTTTTTTCATTCACACATCCATAATTTAAAAATGCAATGGCAGAGGGGGTTAACTCAGTTAAACCGAACTCAATCTTACAAAACCGAACGAAGAAAAAAGTAATTGCATACGAACTTACTTTCTTTTGGTTTATCCTGGTTTGATGTCTTCTATAATCTATATATAGTACAAAAAGAAGAAAACAATAATCAACTTGAACCGAAATAAAGTCAGCTGAGCTAAAGGAATTTAAATAGGAGAAGTTAGATCGGATCTACGTGAATGACTAACTAGGTAACACCCTAGCTAGTAAAATCAATTTGAGGTATACGTGATTTTTTCATTCAAATTTCATTAATATAATCAATGTTTCCAACGATATCCAACAGAACTAAATTTAATATGGATTATATCTCAATTTCCATAAGTCATTATGATGAATTGATAACAGCTGAACCAAATCATAATTAAGTCTAATACTGATATTGCTCATCCGTAACTGGTCACACACTTGACAGTACCCGAAGATAACGATCTAGATCCATTCTTTAAAAAACCAAACAATGATTTTCAATCGACAAGACATGCAAGAAATCCTAAAACCAACTTATAGCTAAAGAAATAATTAAATATAAAAAATTTGACAACCATTTTATCAATTGCCAACCAAAGTGACATATCTTACCTTCCTCAGTTCCTCAGTCTTTGATTTTTCCCCCTCAAAAAGTTTCTGACCTTTAAAGAAAAAAGTTGGTATAGTGACATGCAATCAGTGAAGCAGACACCTATTTCTGTATTATGACTTTTCACATTTTTGGGCGGTTTTTCTTCATATATATATTTTTTTTTTTGCTAAGAAAGTAAATATTCATTGAAAATGAAAATGTTTTAAAATTACAAATCAAATTTATAAACTTATGAAATGATCCCATGACAAAAAAGATAAAAACATGGAAGCATAATTTATTAAGGGTTTTCAGTCCGTTCACTCGACATAAACACGAAGGCGTATGGAGTTAGACAAAGTGATGACCAATTGTTCTTCCCGAATCCGATTGTCAAGCTGCAATTGCGAAAACAAACCACCGAAGTGATGACGATGCAATTTTTTTTTCATATATTCTACATCAATAAAGAAAAGATTGGCGCATAAACTATCACATTAAATCGAGTTCCAAACTCGATTTATTAGTTGTATACATATCTATATTAGAGACTTTCTATGTGACTAGAGATTTGTCAAACCTAAGCTGCGTACAGTGTGGAAGGTGAAACCAACACAATTGAATTTGTAAGGGTTTTTAGAGGAAAGCTGAGATCTCTGAGTTAGAACCACCAGAACAAGATGAGATTGCTGTTAAGAGAAAGCTTTATTAATTCGTCTAGAATAATTTTGCAGTCAGTTGCC